CCCCCCCCCCCCCCCCCCGGCGTAAGTAAACAGAGAATACCAGGCTTGGATTGGAGAAACGTGAAATTGCGTAAAGATTGAATAAGCTTGGAAAACCAACACCGAAGAGCCTGACGAAGACCATAAAAAGATTTGTGTAAACGACATAGAAAACCTGTATATTGTGTGGCATAGCTGGGGGTAATTTCATATATACTTCATCTTGTAAAGCACGATGAAGAAAAGCATTATGCACATCCATCTGGTGAAAACTCCAATTGCTGGCAGCGGCAACAGCTAATAGAGTACGGACCGTTACCAACTTTGCTGTGGGAGCAAAAGTTTCTTTAAAATCGATAGCCTCTTTTTGTTTTTGTTTCCACACCAATCGAGCCTTATATCATTCAATTGAGCCATCACAGTTATGTTTGATTTTGTATACCCACTTCAAACTAATGGTCTTGCGACCAGGAGGAAAATGGATGAGGGACAGGGTTTCATTGCCTTCAAGAGCTTTAATCTCGTCATGCATTGCTTAGCGCCTTGAGGATATTTTACCGCCTCAGAAAATTGTGTAAGCTCAACCTCCGCACTTATAGTGGTCAAAAAACATCTGCGGGATAAAGAGAAATTGTCATAATTAAAAAAATTAGTAATACAGTGTGCAGTACATGAGGGCGGATCTGGACAAGAGGAGGCAGCCGGGGAATTTTGAATGGCGTGAACAATAAAGTCCTTGAGTCTGGTAGGTAGAATGCATTCGCGAGTTCCTCGGCGCGAGGGATTAAAAGGTTGAATATGATCTGGGCTGGTTTCAGGCACTGTGAGGATTGGATTGGATGCATTAGAAGTACCGTGAGGAGTGGAGGCTTCGTCGTTGGAGGGAGCGATCGACGATGGAGAAGAGGGCTGTAACACCCCAACCCGCATGACCCAAACCCGTGAGACAGCGGACCGGTGTGCTACTGAATTGGTATCCAAATTTGCGACATTTTCAAAACAAATTTTAAACAAACGTTCTATCAATACATATAAAAATTCATCGGAGTAATTTAAAATAATGCGGAAGCCTTTTTAAAGTCAAACGACTTGGGATCTTGCCCGAAAACGTAATAAGCATTAAAGTTAATCAAATAAAACATAATCAACAGATTAAAGAGACAGCCACGCCATCGTACATCTCCTCCTCAATGCCCTCTGGGATCGGCTCTAGGTTCATCTGTCTGATCACCTACGGACAGCAAAAGAAAACAACGCTATCCGCTCAGCATTGACGCTGAGTGGTACTC